ACTGCAATTTGAATTGTGGATCAAGTTAGCGTAACCCAGATTAGGGTTTTGAGCCACCCTATTGTTTAGTATCAAAATGTTATAAAATCGACTTTGAAATGAAAATTATAAAATATAATTATAATTTTATCAACACAAATAATATTTTTACTTGCTTTTACCCAAGTAAAATTTTTAAGCCAAATTTCTGCATTTTCTAAATAAAAATTAAATACTATTAAAACAACAAACTACTTTATATTTTTATTTTCTCTGGCAGTAACAAACCTGACATCTTCATGAGTTTGTAGTAGAAATTTCCGGTGACATTATTGACAGCATGATACTCACACCTCATAAGCAACAAAATGATGTAGCTGTACGTACAACAAATTGCGTCTCCCTCAGTTTATCCGCGTGACAAAGAAAGTACGTGAAACTGCCCGAGTCAATTTTTCCTGAAGAACACTTAGGGCGACCACGGGTAGTGCTCGGTGAAGTGGCGTTTACAGATAAAGGGGTAAACTGCTGCCGTGTGTATAAATAGGGCGCATTCACTTTCATTAACCATCATAGCCTCTTGACGAGTGCCGGCAGCAAGTCCTCTGTGCAGCGCGGCGAATTACCAAACGGCATGAATTCGCGATAGCATCGGAGAGAAGTAGCCCATAAAAAGTATATGTGAGCGAGAGAGAAAGAGCATTAAAGTGGGCGGGTGGGCGCTTCTTCTCCTCTTTTACTCTTTACTGCCGGCGCTGCCATCAAGAAAGTAGCATGTTGTCGATGATATGTGCACATTAATTCTTTATAGATGCAGAGCCGACTCGAGCGGAATTTAGCGAGGCGTGCACTCTCCGAGCGAGATGAGAACTAACTCGCGGTACAAGAAGAAGTTGCTACGGCTTGAAATATTATTATAATTTTGAGTCTCTCAAAGACACATCAAGATGACGAGAGAGTCTATGTTTGCGATGTTGTACCTACCAGGAAAGTACACCCCTTCATGCAGTAATAACGTGTCCTCTCTCCGAGAAAAGCATTTTACAATGCTAATAAAGAGGATGATTCTCAAAAGCATCGTGCCGTAAATGCTTTCAATAACTTGCAAATGAGTCTTTAGAAGTTATCAAAAGGAGAGAACAGATATTTCGGTGGAAAGGAATTATGAGATAATTCAAACTGCTAACTGGAGAGGAAAAGCACTGGCTTGCTGTAATCAATAATGATACTTTGTTTGCTCAACCTAAATCCGGTTAACAACATGATAAAGTTTACTTTGAGTTGAGAGCTTTTTTTTAAGATAGTTTGATAGTTTGACATACTTTTTTCGGGCGAAACGGGGCGAAAATTCACCTAAAAAAACTACATAGCGTGATGGAAGAAACGAAAGGTATCGGCTAAATTATTTTATTTCAAATTTTTTTTTATAAATTAATTACTAAATTATTATTTTACATAACTTTGCATGTCTTATAGAAAAATAATCAATTGTCGGGAGGCAAACGTTGAACTGCTGGAAAGAAAAACAGCACCCGGAACATCAAGAATTTTGAGCTAAAAACTTCCAAGATTCCAAATATCGCATCCACTGTAAACCACAAATGGGAAAGTGAAAAATTTAACGATATATTTTTATTTCAGTTGCGACACTTGCCACAGTGGTTCTTTGCTTATATTTTTTGTGACTTACTGATTCTAAATACATATACGCAAGACAATTAAACACAACTACTTACATTTATACATAATGAAATTTTTTTATTTTCATGCTATTTATGGACAGGAATTGCCTTTGTGATAGATCAATAAACACAATTTTGCAACTATTTGGCACAAAAAAACAAAAACAAAATACAATTTCCGTTTTTTTTTTTTTTTTTTTTTTTTTTTTTTTTAATATTATTGATAAAAATTATGGATCTTTATCTGAAAGGATTTTCTTTGAAAAGTTGAAAGTATGAGTCGCCTATTTTACGAAGAATAAAGAGGATTTTTTCACCAGCCCAAACATTGAAATGAATTTTAATATTTATTGATTTAAAATTGTACCTAAATTTCACATATTATATTATGTTTGCTTAGGTTTTAAATCTCTTTTCACTTCAGTTTACCGCAGGTCATAAGAATCAGTTTAAGGGATGAAATCTCGCCGTAAACAGGACTTTAGGGAATCAGGCTTGCTGTGAGGGGGTTGCGCAATTTTTCACTTTTGCTGCGCGGTGTTCCCTTTTTACACACAAGGCAAAGAGGCAATCCACTGAAAACTCACTCGCAGCATTTTTCCTTTCCTAGCTTGACATATTTCTCGCTCTTGACGTTTTCCCTCGTTGTGTCACACGCTGGCCCCATCTTTCCCGTGCTTTTTCATTACATCTCAGGGGACACCAATTTCGGTCCCCCTTTCTCCGATTCCTGCATCGCCCGACCACGCGGCAAAAACATTCGGCTCACTTTTTCCGCCATTCAATGATCAAATTCTATGCCCACTATACTGTCATGCTGAATGGAGGCCCGTTTATTTACACACGCCGTTTTATGTTACCACTTGTAAAGACATAAAATTCGCCATCAATCTCGCACCCTGCGGCTTATCGCGACCAACTCGCTTCAATTACCTCCAGGGAGCGCGGCGATTTGATGGCTTTTATTTGCAGATCATCAAATTACTTGGCCTTTCCCAACTTTATAAATGGTTTTACTTTTTTCTAAACAAAGTTGCCCTGCTGGACGATCACCAGAAATTTACATTGTTAAGCTCCATTGGGTGTATTGGGTAGATCAAAATAAAATTTTATCAAATAAAAAATTGATAATACTAATTGTAAATCTGTTTTGCTATATAATATCATAGAATTAAGAAATCAAAGTTTAAGATATTTTTATACTTATATCGTTTGTTAATTCAATCCATTTCAAAAAGGTTTTAATTTTTATTATATCCTGCAATAAAATTAAAAATGAAGAGGTGCATTCATAAAAAATAATAATTATTTCTTTTACACACTTCAAAATATTTACTAAATGTTAGAAATGCTTGTTCCTTTTTATTACATAATTTTAATTACACATTTTGTGCAAAAACTGCCAAAAAAAATCAAAATTTAGAAGTGTTAATGTCACGAGAAAAGACTAGTTAATTTAAGTTTTTTTTTAATTTATTTCACTAAAAAATTCAAATTGAACAATTCTAACATTTTTAAAAACTATTAACTTAAAATTTTATCCATATTATATATTTATTATTATTTTTTTTTAAATTTTATTTTATTTATTATACTTTAATTAAATGCATTTACAAATTTCAGTGTATTTCAGTTGCATTTTTTTGTAAGTTCTGTAAAGTTGCTGTCTGTCATATAATATTTATAGACTATGTAGCAACATTCACTAATCATCTTCAATGACGAAAACGAAAATTTTAATTTGATGGTGGATTAAGAGAATGTGATTATTGATACTTGGGTTCCAAATATAATATGTAACATTGTTATTAGCAAAATTGAATTTTTTTATATCACTGCGTTAATAATTTGATAATAGATTGAGCAAATATTTTTTTTCACTTTATAGGGTCAGACCTTTGCTGAAATCGTTGTGGAATGATTTCATATATTCTGTCAAATTACACTTGCGTCAGATGTGAGCGAGCTATTTAATCAATTGATTGCATTTTATTACACTTTTGATCTCAACGTCTCAAAACATAAGTGACATTTTTATTTGTTTGAAAAGAGTAACAGGACCGTGCGTCGCGCGTCTTCTCTCATTTTTTATCATCTCTTTCCTTGATGTGAATGCACGCCTGGTGGATGGGAACCTCTCTTTTCTGCTGCAGCAGCACAAGTTCCAAAGGAAGCGCCTTTGCACATACATCAGGGGCGCCGCGCATTAGAAATTTTTTGCCCCCGCGCTTTTGTGTTCCTTTGCGCGTTGGTTTTCTCTTTCAAAGACAAGCAGAAACATCTTTTGACGGCACCCCTGGAGTCGACTGACTTTTCCTGATTGAAAAAGACCGAACTTTCCTACTAAATCGATCACCACGCGGCAATGCAATTTTTCAAATTGAATGGCTCTGCTCGTGAAATTTTGAAGAGTGCTCATCGACTCTGTGGAATTACTTTGTTCGATTGAAGCACACGCGAAAAATCTGAAACTGGTTTTGTCCAACACAATACATTATTGGTTAAATAATCCGCTTACAAACAAACAATGCCTTTTTAATCCATTTGGCTTGGCCAGAGCACAGATTGAAGCGCAATATTTTTAATGCTACATTAAACATTTAATCCTGCAATTCCTTTGTTTAATTTCAAAGCAGATCGTCACGCTCAAATATTATTTTTTAGCCTCCTATTTATTTCAAGCAAAAGAGGATTATTTTTTTCATTTTTGAATCAGATGTTTGGCAATTGACGATCACGTTTCAGCTCTGTCGACAAAACAAGAGTGATGAAATTAATAACTTAAAACGCAAATTTCTGCTGTCAAAGGTGCCATTGAATTTCTGGCAATTCAATCAGCAATGAATTTATATTAACAAAATTGAGTGCGGTTGTATGTGAATTGAATTTCCGGCAAATTCAATTAACTTTATTACCTTTGGTAGCATTTCACGTATTGAGTCAAAAACAGATCCGCAAATCAATTAAATTGTTGTGGATAAGAAACCTTAAAATATAATTCTATGCATAATGATTATTCTATAATCAGCACATAGAATTTCAAATTATTTGAACAATATTTACTTTTTAATGTTGCAAAAAAAGAGAAAAGTTACATTCTTCTAATCAAATTTCTAAACAATAATAATCAATATCAATTTAAGGCTGGTGTGCTTCAAACATTATGTGCCATGAATTTTAAGAATTGAATTATGAACAAAAATATATCTTTTATGATTAACTAAAAATAGGAATTTTACAAAAATCAATTAAACCAGTTTTTTTTTTAAACTTTTCTATGATTTTGAGCTATACTAATGAATTTTCACTCAAATTCGAACAATTCCTTTCTGTCCTCAGAGGCCAAGGCTCGGATTCTGGGCCCGGCAGACCTGTACGTCAAGACAGGTAGCACCATCAGTTTGTCGTGCTTGATCAGCCAAGGACCACATGACTTAGGCACCGTGTTCTGGTACCACGGGGCCACCATCGTCGACTACGATTCTCCTCGAGGCGGCGTCAAGATTGAGACCGAGTGGACGGACGCGTTGACCAGCCGCCTCAGGATCACCAACGCCCGCATCACCGACTCTGGCAATTACACATGCATCCCCACGATTGCGGCGCCCGCAAGCGTCATGGTTCATGTCATTAATGGTAAGTTATTTCGACCACGCTATCTAAACCAAATAATGAAATAACTTTAAAAATTTTTGAAAGAAATAAAAAGGGGTATATAATTTATTTTATTTCAATGTTCTCCAAAAATTTAATCATTGATCATAAAAATATTTAACCTAAATAATGGGATTTGAAGTGAATAATAAACCAGATATTTTCTCAATTAATTGCTTCGAAAGATTTTTTAACTGCATTTTTTTTAAGGTGTGGACGATAAAAAAGAAATAAAGTTACGAAAAATGAAAGTAATGTTTTTAAAATAATTCATTAAAATAATTTCTGCATTAGAAACTATGATTTCAAAATTAGGGGAGAACAATAATTTGTGCCCCACGACATACAGAGACCCAAAAGTAAATCAATTCCACAACAAGTTTGAAGTTTCTGGTCTGAAATGGGATAAAGACCATTTTATTTATACACTTTAGTATTAGCATATTTCAGAATAAATTTTTACTTTCAATTAAATAATTTAAATTACCCATAGCATGTTGTGTTGCTTGAAACAAATTTGCACACACGTGGGAGATGAAACAACCTATTAATTTGCCTGAGCCGAATTCAACGAAATCGTTGGCATTTGGCAATTTGCACGAGTAATTATCTCTTTGCATTGAATAAGCACGCAAAGGTAGAAGAGGCAAGAGAGACAAAGCAGAAAGCTTCAGCAGCAATAATTAGCAATTTTCTGCCTGAGAGTGTCCTCGGCGCAAATTGCAATGCGCTAGCTCGGTTGACATGGCAGCAGGCGACGTGACTGCCTCGTTGATTCTATTTTAATTAAGAATCGTCTCGCAGAGGCAAATCAGTAAAAACAAGTCAGATGTCAAATTAGAAATTACAATCACCGTCTAAATGCCCTTCAGGCACTTGGAAATGCCTTTTTCGTCTCTAATGTAAATTTAATTCAATGCAGAATGTAGCCTCTTGAATTTTTGATGCATATTTTATCAAAAGAACTTGCTGTGATAAAATTTTCATCCTGTATTCTTTTCGTCGCAATTAAATGATTGATTGACGATGATACAACTAAAAAACAATAAAAATGTAATTTATTGAAATGAACGCCGTAGGCGTGCCACAAATTAACTCTAACAATATAACCTCCCAATTCACTTGGCAATGGCATTACAGTTTGCTGCTTCTCGCAGACTCATTCAAAACAATAAAAATAAAAATTAATTATTAAATTATATTACTGATAATACTCTAATAGTTATAATATTGGAGCTTGCCTTTCACAAGCGTCTAAAAAAGGAATAGGCCGATTAGACACTTTGTCTTGGCCTGACCCCAAAAGAAATATCTCAAATAAAAAAAAAAACACGATTTTCTTTTCATTTTAATATCACTTTAACCGTTTCTTATTATTTTTATTTAGTGATTTTTCTATAATGTTATTCTACGGTATTGAATATCTTTTGTAATATAACTTAATAATTTATGTCGGCCAGGCTAGGCAGCAATGACAATGAGCCAAAACTTTTTAATTACGGGCAAAACTTTTGCCTACACTGGTGCATCAACCCACTCGAATCTTCTCGCAGATTGAAATTAAGCGACGAGTTTTTTATAGAAATTCGATTCTGGTGGCTCGACGCGAAAAATGAGCGGGTGAAGTTTGCCAGCTGATGTCATCAAATTTCAATCGCGCCAAGTTTAACGCGATTTGCCCACCTTTGGCACGAAACGGCAGAAAAATATCCAGGCTTACGCAGCACAAAGTTGCTCGACGAGAGCGACCAACTTTCGAAAGCACCGAGCCAAGTTGCGTGCGTGTGGCTGAGGAAAGTGCACGCTCGGAATTTCACGCCTCACCCTAAAGAGAGAAGAATCTGCAGCACCCCTTTCTCTCTGTCACCGCAGCCAAGGCAATCATTCCTGATATTGAATGGGTGAGAATTTTATTGCGCGTCGCCCAAATCGTGTTGATTCACATCTTGTGGCGCGTGAAAATTGAGTTTCTGCCGTGCGCGCCTTGTCATTAGCGAAATTGCGTTTTCAAATATGAGACGCGTCTCGCTCCTTCGCAATTCGCCGAAGTGCGTTTGCGAGCGCGCGCGCCGATCAATTAACTTTGATATAAATGGATGCGAGAGAGAATTCTATCTCTCTCTGTCGAATTGAGCGAAATCAAGAGGAAGCAGAAGACGCAATTTTGTGGAGTGATATCGCTCCTCCTCGCTTTCAAATGCACTCGCAAGTGAAATTTAAATGTGTATCAATGTTTTGTACAATTTTGACAAAAGACAAGAATGTGCGTCATCAGGCGTGAACGAATTGAAAACAGAAATAACTTCTCCTTATGTTGACTATTTTGTCAAGCGATCAATATTTAAGTACGCTTTCAAAAAAATAAATGTGCATTAGGCATGGGTAAAGCAAGGGATTCAGCTGAAATACATAGGCGAGTTTTAAATAAAAAGGTATAGTGTAAAAAAGTTTGTGATTATTGTGATTTTTTTTTTATTAAAATAGAAAATTTCAAAAGTTAGCATTTTATAACAGCAATTTTTTTTAAACAAAATATTAGAGTTAAATTTCTTATTGTAGTTTATTTTCAACAAATAATAAAGTAACAAAATGTGAAGAAACGATAATATCCCCACCAACAAGTTGCTTTGTGGGGCTGAAGTGAGATAAATAATAAAATATTTGATAAAAGGAGATAAATCTTAAAATTAGGGAAAACAGGTTGATAATTTTATTATGTTCTCAAATAGGAAAAATATGTTTTTTCATCAACTCTGTGCTTTTGCAAGTTTTGCTATAAATAGCATAATCTAGACTTTATTACATTTTATTTCTTACTCATTGTCTGATAATTTTCCCACTTGTTATTCTTAATGTAGATTATTATTTTGGATTATTTTTTTTCCAAATAAAAAATAAAGTAGCAAACAAAAACGTGCACCTTTAAAATGCCAAATTTTACAATTTCTATCAATTAGACTATTTCCAATAATTATTACATGAATTTTGTTTATTTTTCATCAAACTAAAAATTAATGAAAACTTTGATCTAGTTTTCATTCATGCAAAAATCAGTTCCATCAAAACATGGGATTGTTTGCTTATCCATCCGAATACTGCCTAATACAAACAAACGAGATTGCACCCCAATCCGCCGCATGAGCCTGTGATGAAATAAGAATTTCATGTTTTCCATCCAGAATATCGCCGGAATTATCAATTTTGCCGATCCGCTCACTCGCTCGACTACACACGCCCTGCCCAGCGAGGGAAAAAATTCACGGCCGTAAATCCTGATCAGTGAAAAAATTGGCCAAATAGGGTTCATCAGGGGCGTGTAAGTGTAATGTGATTATGCCAGGTCGGCGTGGCCGAGAGGGTGCGAGCGCTTTGCACTGCTCTCTCCGCTGCTCCACAATGTATTTCTATTACCATCCATTTTCATTGCGAGCCGGCAGAGGCGGCGCGGCATATTCGTCGAGATGCAATTTTACGCCAATCTGATTTAGCCCTGGCGGAGATTTTGCAGCGGACCGACGGTGACCAGGGCATTAGTAGCCTCACTCGCCGCCGTGTATATCCCCGGGTCCTTTTTTGTAGCGCTGGAATCAATTACACTCTGGCCGCTCCAGTGATTTTATCTTGTGAGCCTCCCTCATCTCCTCTCTCTCTCTCTCTCTCTCTCTCGGATCCCCCATTGTGTGCACCAAGTTTGCTTCTGCTCGGCTCCACAAAGGATTATACCACCGACACATTTTTTTTCGCGCCACCGTCCTCTCTTTTCCGGGAGCCCCTTATTTCCCCAAAGTCCAAACTTCCTGAAAGTTCCGACGAGAATTATCCCTGAAAGCTAAATACTTGTCCGCACTTTTATTTCCCCTAAATAAACATTGTTTAATTTTGTAAATAGGTTTCTCCTATACAAAGTGTAAATTAATCAAAGTCACAAAAGAAGATTTTATTTGATCTTTCTAGAGCTTTATAAATGATTTTCCAAGTAAGATTATATCAATGCAACTTGGCTGAGGGCATTATTTTCTATTTTTCAAAGGAATAAAAAATTCACATTTCCGATTGATTTTTTTTTCAACTAATAACTCGTCTTTATGAATTTCTTCAATCATCATATTTTTTTTTTTTTAATATAGGGAAAATGACGGCTACCCTGATTCCATTGTGAGTGTCTCTGTTGGGGGAAAAAGGAGGAATTAAATGCGATTTTGTTCGGCAAGAATCGAGAGTAGCTCTCAGCAAGCTCGAATCTCGGTGAATCACACGGATGACAAGTAACCGCTGCTGATGGTGAGAGTGGCACACGCGGCTCTCGTAATATTTTTTGCACTTTTGCCCGCTGACACTATCTTCATCTGCTGCTGGGTTTTTGTCTCTCCCAAGTGAAGCTGAGCTGCATTATGTTTGACAGCTTTTTTAAGATTGATTGTCACGGCAAAGGTTTTAAGATGAATGACTGCGGAGAAAAGCTCTTCGCGGCGCGAAAGCGTGAAACGAAAGTAACTATACTGCAAATGTGAGAATTGTGAGAAATACATCAAAAGCTGACCACTCCTAATATAGCAGACAGAAAATGCTCAGCATTATCTTGGATTCAAGGACAGATCATTTTTCCACCAAAATTAACAGCTTTACTCGCAATTGATAAGCGATTCAATAATTAAATTCATGGACTGCCTAATTTTAAAATGTTAAATATTATTGAAAATTTGTGTAGATTTTAGTATAATTTTCGTCCATGTGAAGATCATTGTAAAAATGGATCTTTGCTATTTTTGTTTTTCATCAAATATGTGAGAAAATAATATTATATTATAACAACAACTTTTCTTATTTTCACAGTGCAATTTATTTTAAATTTCCGGAATATCTTGAGACTTTTTATGGACTTTTTATTCGTTATTTTCTGCATTTTTCCAAATTTAATCCTACTATAAATTTTTAAAATTCGAAAAAAGATAATCAGAAAATTAAAACCCCTATAAACCGGGTTTTCACATACGAAAAATATATTTAAAATAACAATTAATGATATTTTGCTTACAAATTGAAATCTTAAAGCTTACAGTGCTTAAACGGAGTTTTTATTTAGTGATTGATATTCAACGTTTCATTTAATTAAATAAAATTTCAAGAGGAGTAAGTAACGCTGATCTTAAATAACACCCGTACCATCCCAAGCATTGAAGAAAATAATTAGTTCATACGCTGTGACACGGGCTGGGGATCATGCAAAACGGAAAAAGGGTTAGGGGAAACATTCAATTACACAGAAAACGTCGCGCGTTTAAAAATCCCAGTACTTTTGAGCATCCCGCAGAGAGGGATTTGAAACGGATTAAATAATAATGGAGCTGTGGGAAAATTATATAAAAACACACCCCTGCACGTCGACTCGCACACATATGAGCAGAAGTGCTAAAGAGCGCTTGCAGCAGGAGAACGCGCGACTGTAAAAATCTGTATGAATAATAATTGCATTCAAATTTATTCAAATGCCTATCTGCGCGGTATTCATTCTGCCAAGCCGACCGAGCAGTTTTTTGAGCGCATGATACCATCACACTCTCATCAAGTGTGAAAATGCACTTATGCAACATGCACGACAGAGGTGTTGAGCGTGTAGACTGCGCGATTCTCCCAGGCGCTCACTAAATCAAGATTAAAATTTAATAAAAACAAATGCTGAGAGATTGCAGCTTTCTTTTTAGTGATCAAAATGGAATAGTTTAATAGTAATTTTTGACATTGAATATAATAAAATTTGAAAGAAGAAAAAATACTGATTATTTTTTCATTGTTGTGAAATAACAAATTATTGAAAAATAATTATGTTAAAAAAAAATAAGCGTAAAATAAAATTTATTGGTTTTGATGGTTTACATTTTTTTAATTTTATAACTTATAACTCATTATATTTATATTATGAAACAAATTTCCCAAATAAAATACATTTTAATAATTTCTAGGAGCACATAATTAAAAAAATATTATATTAATATCAGCTTGAAGCCAAAATTAAAAATTTTCTGTCTTTGTTTCAGGTGAGCACCCAGCAGCCATGCAGCACGGAAACAAGAATCACTCAAACGGACTTTTGAACAACCTATCACTCCTTCTTGTACATAGTTTTACAGTTTTCTTAATAAAATGGTTGAGATGAGAGTGAACATTTTACATTCCAACAATAAAGTAAAAAGATGATTTTTTGAGTACCAGGATGAGTTTTATTTCAGCTGAAATCCCCATTGTAAGAAAATTAGTTTTTGCAGCTAATATTATATGGAGCTTTATACAAAAGCGGGAAATTGCCCTGTTAAGCAAACATTATTTGCGATTCGCAAAAGCTCCCCTTGACGAGTAAACACAAAAAGCTGCCTTTATGCAAAATGAATATCTTGCTCGGAAACTTCATTATTAAACGCCGCTGCAGAGCTGCGTGCAAAGGTGCCCGTTTCAGGAGGCGAAACAAGCTGGAGCGGAATTTGCTACTAATATGCTCAACAGCATCGGAAACGTTGTATGTGCTAATGGAAAGAGGGCCTGAAGGGATCAAGTTTGGAAAATTGGTGTGCCCAAAATTTGTAAATAAATAATTACAGGAACTTGAGAGCTGTGAAAAATAATATCCTCTTGTTTTTTTTTTTTTTTTAATAAATATATGCTTATTTTAAACTAAAAATTAAAAATTTAATTTGGTACACTATGAATTTAGTATCATTTAGTACTATTATGGGTATTACTAAGTACGAAAAGATTAGTATCAATCTAATATCATTTGATTTTAGTACCAGAAATGGTGCAACTGATTTTCACCTGGGTTGGGATCAAAGGAGTCTCTCTTTATATTATCTGTGATCGCCTTCCACGCAACAAAGCCTCTTCAAATAATAGTGCACGTCTACGACCCATTCACTCTAGATAGTTTGGTGGATTTTTTGCTTCTGACTGATTAATTTATAATTAATTATTGTAGTAATTATTGATGTCTTTGACAAAGGAATTTGAAGTGGCGCCTTCAAGACAGGAAAATTTCGTTCTAGGACCCTTATTTGAGTTTTGGAAAGTTTAGAAGTGTAATCAGCGTGGATAGTATAAATGTTTAATCAAATAAAATTAATTTGGGATTGTTGAATCTAATAAGTTATTTCCTGTTTTATTATCTTTTTTAATTACAATTATCAAATTCTTTAATCTTTTTATTTTCAATATATAAAAATGCAAAAACCTACAATTTTACAATTCTTTTGAAGAAAATTAGATTTATTTCTTAATTCTTGTCAATTCTTGTTAAGAAAACTCAGATTCCAATCATGATAATAATTTTCTAGTTAAATTACATTGTCTTATAATTTTAATTTTAAAATTTAAGAGCATTAATGAAGTAAAATTTTTACACACATTTAAAATTAGTATTCATTCAATTGTTCATTAGCACCCTCACTGAGTGAAGATTTTCATCGGCCATCACCCCATTCGGCTTGACCTTTTCGGTTTCAATGTAAACCTGGTGGAAATGCGGGGCAATCAACAATTTGAAATGGTAGTGAACCATGTTGTCCAGAACCTCGAAGGTCGGCTGGACCATCGGATAGGTGGTTTTCAGTCTTCGTCCGTTGAAATAGTACTCCTGCAGCATGTACTCCATCTTGTACACACCAGCAGGCAACTGGGTTGTGTGGAAAATCAGACTGTCTAAGTAGCCGTCCACGTCTGTGTCGCCTTGCGACAAAAGTTCCCACTCTTCGAGAGGATCGTTGCTTTGCTTGTACAGTCTGATGTCCAAGCCTTCAGCAGGTTGTCCAGTCAACGAATCAATTACCTGAAATTATAAACAAAAATTACCAACCATGTTCTTTATATGAAAATTAATTGGAATGTTTTTAACATAATTTTGATTTATTTGCTTCAAAATATAGTGGGATTTTTTTTTAATATTCTAACTTGAAAAAAAAATGTTTCAAAATATTGTTTAACCTGTGAGGAGATGAGTGAGAATTCGCTCCTCAGTCTGAAGTAGTCGTCTACGGTGAGGGCAAGTGATTTGTCCCGGGCACCATTTTCCACAGCATTTGATCTTGCCCTGACTATTGCCTTGTGCTTTCCAAGTTCCGAGTGGTCCATCAGGGCATCATAGAGAGGCTCAATGACATCCTCGCAGAGCATGCAGTACGCCTTGGTGGTCGGAGCAGACCTTTGATTCATGATCACTTCAGGACCCTTGGTCAGCCAGTCTTTAAAAACAGACAACTCTTCCCACTCTTCTCTGTAGCGAGGAGTCTGATAGAGACTTCGAACGTGCCGACTCATCTGTAAGATCACAAATATTAACTGAATTGATCTTTTATGCCGAAGTTTAAATTTCTACAATTATGCAAATTAAATAGTTTCATAAATTTCTGATCAAAAAATAATTTGCTAGTTCATATTAATTAACATTAATATAATTGTATTTCATTTCAAGTCGCTAAACTTTTCAACACAGTTTAAGTTATATATACTTTTTTTTAAGGTTTAATAAAAGAAACATTTTTATTTAGTTTTCTTATTTTTGAATTTTTTAATTTGAGTAACTGGAGTTTTGTTGCTCTCCCATTACAACCAACGCCTTCGTTCAGTCGCTTGAAAAATATTGGATGTGGATTAACATTAGATCACATTTTTAGTCCAGGGACACCCTCATTCCTTCTTCATATGTGTTTGAAGCCGGGAGTGGAGCTGTAGCTGAATCTTTCCAAGGAAGATTTGGACTTCGGTGACACAAGTTCGCCGAAACTTCCTGAGCCTATAAACAGGCTGTCCTTTTTGGGCGTGACTGCCATTTCTTCTTCCTCCTCGTCCTCTTCACTTTCCGAGTCATCGTCCTGCTCCAGCGCCCTGTACTCCTGGTAGTGTCCGACAACAAAAGGCGCTGACCTGGGTAGAAGGTACGGGTCGAACGGGAAAAAGCTGTTGAGATTTGAGCAGATTTGCTGGCCGGACTGGTCCACAGTGGGCAAGTGCATTCGGGCGTTTCTCTCCAGGACTGTGTAGCAATAGGCGATCTGATAAGTCCTCATGACGGCAGCAAAGTTTTGGGCCACCGCAGACAAACAGGGCTTGAGCGGGTTGAGCCTCGAGGTGACCAACTTGGCCAGTCCGAGGCTCTGCATCCAGGCCACGCCCTTTTCCGTCCGCAGAAGTTCGGCGTGTCTGAAGGCAATGATGTAGAAAAGGCTCTGGCAGACTGAGTAGAAAACGCCGTGGGCTTTGACGTCGCAGGATGGCACGTCATGCATGGCCAGGTATGCGTGGCACCACTCGCACATCTGGGCAATGATGCAGCGAGTGGCGTTGACAGTCAAAAAACGCCCTCGAGCCACCAAACTAGCCAGATAATGGGCTGCCGACTGCCGGACAGTGACAATTTCGCCCAGCTGCGTGACCTTGGTCCACAGGGCGGCCACGAAGAGCTCTGCCAAGGGCAACTGGAGGGTGCAAAGGTAAAACATGAAGAACTGCACGTGGTGGCTGCCATGAACGAGGAGCATCTGCTGCTCAAAAATGGCCAACAGCTCTTTGAAAATCTTCCACTGCTGCCCATCCTCGCCCCGCGTAATAAATTCCTGGATGTAGCTGAAAATTTGCTCCATCAGAAGGTCCAGGGTTTGCGCCAGCTGCTTCTGCATGTCCACGCTAATGCTCTGGGTGACCTTGGATGCCGACTGGGAAACGTCATCCATGGTGAAGACGGTGTTTGTGTCATCCATATTTTCCTCCGTCTCCATCTCATCCTCGTCCATATCTTCAAGGGCCTGCCTCGGCAACTGGACATCCAGGGCGATGGTTTTGTTGATAATCAGCGACAGGATCTGCGGTCGGATTTCAGGGTGGTACTCGCAGATTTTGAAAAGGTTGTAAATGTAGCTCTGGTTCATCTTGGCACCTCTTTTCATGAAAGGGAAGCAAACGGTGCAGGCGTGGACAAGGACGCTGCTGGACATGGGGACGATTTTCAATACCTGCTCGATGGCAATGTGAACTCTTTTGAAGGACTGCTCTTCTTCTTTGCTCGGTCTCGTGCCCGGCCAAGGATCTCCAGACGAGTAGAATTTTTTCAGCAAATTTTCTAGAACAGTCTTAGTGTAATAACTATGGGTGGCGACTAATTCGAGTATGAAGCGTTGGTACATCAGGGCCAATGCTTCCGAGGAAGTGTTCCAGTTGAGACCGATCAGGGCCGAGACGAGGGCATGAACCCTCTGGTCGAGCAGGTTGATGCAACTGTAGCAACTGTGCAGGAGCTTGCCGAGGTTCTCGTCAGGATGGTCGCCCGATTTGAGTGCCATGAGCAGTTCTTGGTACGCCTCAACGTTGGTGCCATTGATGAAGTTGGTCACGATGCTCTCCACTTCTGTCGGAAGGGCGAACCGGACCTTCGGCGTGGCCAAACTGGAGAGGCTGGCCCGCCGCGGCGTGCCTTCCAATCTCAGAATCGACATGATTGAGTTTCACATGGAGTTTTCCTCGGTCCTTCCGCGTTGTAACAGCTCTACACACACATATGCGTACAATTAAAATACTAAATTTAAACCGAATTTCATACCATTTAATGGTGAATTTGCATTTAAGTTACCTTTCAATGTTGCTGAATGAGGATTACAGGTTTCTATCAGCCGGTAAGCGAGTTTTCAATCAGGAAATTTGAAAATTTTGACGTTTTGATTTCGGTCGCGTGGTCAATCGCCCATCGTTGCTTTGCTTTAGCTTTTGGCTTTCTTTTCTTGAAAAAGTTCAGGCGGTGAACACTAAAGGCGCTGTCGCGAGTTGAATTTAATGGCCGCTGAACGAACAGGTTTGAGCGAGATCTGGTGTCGACTTTGCGTAACTCACGGAAGCAGCGCCGGCCAATCAAAAGAGGCCCTCTAGCGATTCTCCAATCACAGACGCTTCTGGTTTGATTTCGAAATTTCCATCACAGATGTTTAAAAATAGAAACAAATTCTCTTCCATGCACTTGATGTGCTCGTTTTTCGCTCTTAATTTTAGTTTCTCTTCATTTTTCATCGTTTTCCAACCCGTTTAATGCTGTTGTCCACGCTCACGAAAGCCGTGCGGAGACAAAGAAAGCAAGTCCACAACTCCGCTGCGTCCAAGATGCCAAAGAAGGACTCCAGAAAGGTCGAGCCCACAAAGCAGGATATCAAAAACGAAGAGGAATCTATTTCCGTGGACAAACCGGGAAATATTTGCCTCAAAGTTCACGCCAAACCTGGGGCCAAAATGAACTCAATTACAGGTTTGTTGAATTAATACAATGGAATTACATATTCGCAATATTTTTAGTGAAATTAAAAATAAAGTTACAATTTATTGATTAAATTTCTCTGTTCTAGATATAAGCTCGGAGGGCATCGGAATTCAAATTGCTGCGCCTCCAGTTGATGGCGAGGCGAACATTGAAATAGTCAAGTACGTCGCTTCTATCCTCGGACTGCGGAAAAGTGATGTCACCTTGGACAGGGTATGACGTAAATACATACATAATTGGCAAGAAGGTTATGATTTACATCCTTTCATGTTTCAACAGGGTTCCAGATCAAGGCAAAAAGTGCTGGTTGTTACTGGTGGAAAGCTGACAGTGGGCCAAGTTAAAGAGCTCATCCAGAAGCAGATCGGTTCATGATTCGGCTGCTCCCTATTGTACAGGTAAAATCGTTGGTTATCAATTAATATAGTGCAAAAAAACAAGCAGAAAATTATACCATATTTTTTAATAGTCTTGTGAAATATTTTATTGGAAGTCAATTACATATTTAATTCAGATATTTATTCTCTTGCTTAAAAATCTAATGGTTATTGAAATTCTATCTTTTTCAACATGTAAACATTATTATTGTGCTGAATTTTTTATCAAATGTATAAATTGCTGCAGAATACATTGGTTATTTAGCTCAATGCTGCTCAGTCGCACTGCCCCTCGTGCATTTCACACCAGCCTGGGGTGACAGTGGCGGCCTTGATTCCTCTGGTGCCGACGATTCGCCTTCTCCACCGCAGCAGTCTGTTCTCAGCTCCGGAAATGCTCGACGGATTCGACCAAAGTCTCTCAGCCAGGGCGGCCGCCCTCGGCCACAGAATGGAGTCCATGGTCAGTTCATCAATCAGTTCAGACCAAAGGGCCACTTCTCCGCCCAAGGCCCCCTGCGGCAGTTTCGCGTTGTACACCCTCTTCCAGTTGGCGTACTTGGTCTGGCCCCAGAATCCGTGATCCAAGTACCAAGCGTCCTTGGTGCTCACGATGACCCTGTAGCCTAAGTTGATCAAGTCCTGTGGCAGGGTCTCATTTTCAGGCACCCAGGTCTGAATGACGTAGCGGTGAGGGTCAAGGGTGCTCATGATGGTGTTTGTGTCCGTCAGGTGGCTGGACCAGAGGATGACGTCGGGGCTGCTGTGGTTGTACGCCTTGTCCAACTCTTGCAGGGCCTTTGACTGGAAGTACTTCCAAGCCCACATGAAGTCCTCGTCCGTCAGCTGGCCGTGCGTCCTTTGCGTCGCCAACCAGTCGCTGACTGTGTAGGTGGCTTTCCAGCACTCAAGAAAAACTTCGTCACCGCCCATGTGGAAAACTGAGTTCGCGTGTGGGGCAAAGGTGTCCTTAAACTCCCTAAAAATCATTTAATCATTAATTTTTTTATTTTAATTAATTAAGAACTAGAATTTATTGTAATGATCCTCATTTCTGGTGTCTGAATTAATTTTAACTATTTAAATTAAAATCCTCAAGTGATAGATTTTTTCCGAATTTTGCTTTTCAAGCTCAATTAATATAAAATAAATAAATGTTATTACTTTTTTAAATTAAAATGTTGTTAATTAGAAAGAAAATTAATGCTTTACTTGTAAAGTTGTCCCAAAATTGCATAGACGTTGTCGTTGCCTGGGTGGAGTTGACCGCAGGGTGGCTGGATGCACAGCTCCCTCCACGGCTGCTGATTTACGCAGACGGCCAGTTCGCCTTTGCCCTTGCTGCGGCCCCACTGCCAACCCTGTCCGGCGTGGGCTGGGGCGTCAAGTTCCGGGATGATCCTGATGCCTCTCACCAGGGCGTAGTTCGAAAGCTCCACCAGCTGCTCGATGGTGTAGGTCTCCTGGTCCGAGTAGGCGCCCCACTCGGACATTTCCGGCACCGCCTCAGACACAAATGGGAAGCTGTGCGAGTCGGTCAGATGCAGATGGAGAACATTCAGTTTGCATGTTGACATTATGTCGAGGGTTCTTTTAATCGCCGGCAAGGGGATGAAGTGGCGGGACGTGTCCAGTGTGATGCCTCGATGGGTAAACTTGGGCTTGTCAGCCAGGACCTGAAATGAGAATTTGGAATTATAAATCTTAACATTAAAAATAAATACGATTATTCTTTTTAGTTTTCAGAATTTGTAATTTGAATTAGGAAGTATTGAGTATGAATTTTTTTTATAGGGTTTAAAATAAGTTTTAAAATTAAATGAAATTTTTATGTTTTATTCACAATTAAGGAAAACTTATTTTGAATTTTACATTCCCGAAAATATGGGATTCCATATTCCTTTTATATCAAATCACTCTTACTGGATCTCTAAACTTTTAAAAATTGGCACAAAAATTTATGTTTGAACAATTTTATTTATATTTATTTTTTGTCCTCATTTCTTTTTTCTAGTCAAATATTCTAAATATTTTTCTCTTTTCAGAACCTACCTCAGCATCACTAAGGAGATAGAGATACCCACTGCCATGTTCACCCTTAGTCATGAGTTGTGCCAAAGTCTCCAGTCCGTGTCGAGCACCAAAAACGGTGGCCGCGCTGATCTGCGCCGTCACCGAACCCCTGTCTGCTGCATCGCTGTTGATCTGCACAAATGGTGAGTGCCAAATGATACCCATTATTTTGTTTCTTACGTTAAGGGAGTAAGACTCGTCCGTGTTCCACTCGAGGTGGTCAATGTTGGGGTAGTCGAGGTTGATTTGCACTTTGAGCAGGAGGGATCGGTAGTTGGCCGGTCGATCGCAAACCAAGCAACTGAGTTCGTTGCACGCCAGCAGACTGACCTCCTCCCTGAACACCCCCTCCATTTGGGACAGCAGGGCCGTGGATTTGGAATAAGGGGTGGGCAGGAAAGTGATCGTGGTCACGTCGATAACAAGTAGCAAATGGCCGAGACGGACTTGGCCGTTGGGCCGCGGCCACAGTGGCCCGAGGGGGCGGCCGCACATTAAGGAGCACTCGTCCTGAGTGTGGTAGGTGGTGCCGATTGTGGGCACGGACGAGTTGGCGCTCAATCGGACGCAATTGCCAAAGGTGCACCTCCAAACCCATGGGGGGTCGTGCGTCTTTTCCGAAACTTCCCTAGATTTAAATTTTTAATTAGAAAGTGAACTTCGAGTGTTAATGCAGGTCTCGTTTCAGAATAGAATTCACTTTACGGAAAATTCCAAGAAGAAGCTCCAAGTTTGTATAGGAAAACTTTAAGAAACAAAATCACCCTTAAGACTGAATTTACAACATTCCTTGAAAATTCCGATCCCTTTGATCGGACGTCGAATCAAAATGTTCTGGACTTGATTTGGAATTAATTAAAATAATATTTGACATCATTTCCTTCCTGATGTTGATTTTATAAATGTTTTAAAGGATGAAACTGCAGTATACGTATACATTATACTTCTCACAGTGCACTTTGGTGTATTTAATAAATCTACTTGTGTATAAAAAATATTTTCAAACTGATAATTTTACTCCAACCTGAAACCTCTATTCAAAGTTTAAGTTTTGTAAACAATTTGTTTTATCTTGGCTAATTATATTTAAACTTTATTTTCTTACCCACTGACAACCAGAGTTGTTGCTTCAACGGCTTTTTGGCAGCCAAACGCCAAAATTGAGACCATCAAGAGTAAAGATGCCATATTGAAAAATATCTCTAAAACAGGAAAAAATTCATTTTTACAAAAGGAAAATAAGAGAAACGTTCAGAAGAGTTATTTATATGATCTTCTGTGTGCGTCGTTGTTGATTAGAGCTATACTCGTTACTTAATTGAGGTTGAATCATTTCCTTCTTTCAACAGCGCATGATTATGCTGACTGGCTGTATAAATGTTTGCATGTCTTCGCTATCTGGTTTCCGGTAAAATAATTCACCAACAAGTACTCCAATGATTTTCTTTTAGCCCTTCCATTGCGAAGTTGTATTTAAATTTTAGTATCATGGTAAATATTTAATAATATTTTTTTGTAGGGAAAAAACTAATTATGAAGATTACAAAAATATGCAGTTAATTAATTTTTTTTCTTAATACTTATTTAGATAGTATGCAAATTTTTTTTTTATCTATAACTGGATTTAAAAAGTACATTTTGTTCTAAGTAAGGTTAACCAAAATTTGAAGCATAAAAGAATTCAAATAGCTAAATTATTGTTTATTCGAATATTGCTCATTTTTATTTGCTCCGACAAATTATTGTTTGTTCGAATATTGCTCATTTTTATTTGCTCCGACGAGATAAAAATTAAATATTTTCTAGACACTATTTCTGATTCAGTTTCAATTTTCAATATTACTTATTGCTAGGAATGAGCTAGAGAATAAACTTACGGTTTCCAAAGGGACGCACAATGGACAGATGCTGCGGAAGAAGTGGCCTCTTGAAAAAACTCCACCTCCGATTTATATTCAAGGCTCAGGTGCAGAGGAGTGAAATTGTTCGCTGGTGTCACTCCACCAATATTGATGGTGTCTTTGAACCCCACAGAGGTAATACAACAATACAAAATTTTCTGGAGATAAATTCTATATGGGTGGAGCGTTACGTGCATATGCAGCCAGCATGGAAATTTGAATAAGATGATAATATTCAAATCACAGCAGCGAACAACGGGAGGGTTTGGATAAAAACGTGTTTTTACTAAAAATATTTATCTCTCGTTTTTTAAAACAAATCCTGGCTTTGTATTTATAGGTGGAGTGGTTAATTTAATTTCCACTGCTGAAAAACTGTTAAATTGTTAGCCTGGATCCTTTCTTTGTTTGATTTCATATTTTTAAAATTCATTATAAATTTGTTAATTCTATTAGAGGTTTTGTGGTAAATAAAATTCAACAGCTTAGTTTCATCACATACAAACCAATGCATTTTTGTTTTTGTCATCTTTACAAATATCATACATATTTTACATCAACTAATGCATAAAAAACATGATCCTTAACTTTTTCTCTGCTCGCTCATTATGCCTCAATCAAATGTGTTATACAAATAATCAGTTTCGTTTGTTTTTTTTTCTTCCTAAAATCTTCGATAATTTCCGTTTCTTTTCCTCTTAAAACATGCAGATACATTCCATCGTTCAAAATGAAATAAATAATTTAAAATACAATCTCCTGCGCGTCATAACAAAAATTTTCGCTTTCAATATTTTAATCAATACTTTTTACATAAATCACAGATCAAAGAGAAGATTCCAAATTTGCCATCCTGGTTAATCGTCGATTTTTACTAAAAAAATGAAGATTAACTAAACAATTGCCGAATACATTAACAAGTAGATTTGATTTGCTTTTCATTACTTTTGTTTCAATTCTCAAATAACACGAGACCATTTATTTTATTTATTTCTCCTCTCCACACTTAGTTCGCGATTTCTCTTTCGTCATAAAAACGCTGATTATTGCTTGTCTTTGTATAGGCCTGTTCCAAACACTGCCCCGACAGTTTGGGCAGCCCGGGCGACAAAAATAAAATTAATTGCTTTGCTGAAGAATATAATTTTTTCCGTATCGTCGATATTGTAACACCTAATCATTTTCATTATTATTTAAAAGGAACATCAGTGCAGTGGGCTATTGCATCTTTTATAATCGACCGGCCAAACTGCGGCCGAGTCGATTGAGGATTTTCTTGTTCTTTTTACAAAAATTTAATTAAATGCATCATTCAAATTGTTCACAACAGCAAAGAAATTAATTTTTCGTTTCGATAAGCAAGTATATATACTTATATTCACCATTTGAAATAATTATCTAACTCATCATCTTACTTATATACTCAAAAGCTCGTTTCTCCAGAATCTTATTGAACGGTTATTTTTAATCATTTATCTGTAACTCGCTTCGAAACACTAACCTTGGAAATCATATCCGCGGAAGAAATTGAGAGAGAAAAACGTGTATGTATTTGCCTGTAATTGAAAATGTACAAACGCGAGCACAATTTGATGTTAATTGGTTGTAGTTCGGTATAAAAATTAACCCAGTGTTTTGCTTTGTTATAATTCTTTACGGACGTGTCATTTTATGCAGTTACATTAATATGGCAGCAGTAGAGGCTAATCAAGAGACTTGACAGTATAAGAATCTGATTTAATCTTGTTTCAGAAATGCAGAATTATTTAGTGAGTTATTGTATCCTGTAAAAAAAGTAGTGAAAAAGTAGAACTCGCTGTAAATTATAGAAAAATGCAACCAAGGTTTGTGTCAATGTCTTGATTATTTCAGTTAGGAACCTGTTGATACCGTTGAGAAAATCAAAATTGCGCTGTCAAACAAAGGAATGTTTATAAATATGTAGTGTGTGTGTTTTTTTTCCTGTCAATTAAGATTATAATAATTTGCATTCTCGGTGAAATCCAGCGAGAAACTTGTCATTCGCTCAAACTTTTGTCTCATTTTGTGACTGCAAAGTAATTTTTCACGACCGAAAAGAGATGCTCCGAGGAACTTAAAAATCACTAACCCAACGCCAAAGATTTCGTTCCTTTGGGCTGAATGATTTTAAGTCGAAAGTTCCTCTCGGTGCATCTCCCCTGGCCGCAGAATTGCACACGTATAACATCATAAAGCGGGAAATTTACAGCATTTTGTTTTTAATTTTACTTAAATCTCGTAACGTGTATCAAGTTATGTGGTTAGAATTGCAAGAAGTCCTCTTTCGTTTCACTGTTGTCAAAAATAACCCTGATGCATATCTTTTTGCAGCTTTTTCTCAATAAAAAGTATAGAGCTTTTATCACATTGCAAATAGCTGTTGTAATCAATACACGCAATATTTATGAGATGTCGTAACACTTGACATTTATAAGTATCCCTATCAAAGAGTGAATGGATTTATTTTCTCAAATGCACGGGTCGTCTGGGTTTTCTTTTAATATAAATATTATAATATTCTTTTAAATAGTGGCGGCAGTAACCTTATATGCATTAAGAGGGTTCTTTCTTCTCCGCACGTCTCTTTGATGCTCAATTATACATAATTATTAGCTCGGTTGCAAGTTTATAAACGTAAAGTAGTATGCTACTGTATAACTGTACAAATGTATGTGTGTATTTTTTTCGTATTGAGTTTGTTCGGTGCGTCAAATGTTCAAATATTGGCCACTTGAAAAGTATAAAAAAGCGATAAAATTACATTAAGCTTTAGTCGTTGCAAATAAAAGAGATGGCAAAGTATTTAAAAAAAAGAGAGGAATCAGGTAAAAACTTGTAATGTTCGAATGGCTGGCATGGTAGTCTGTTTTCCTCACTTGCGCAACTCATTCAACACATATATATGGATGCACGTGAAAAGTAGTGTGCAATCGAAACTTGTACACAAAAACATTGATATGTCAGCAGAAAAACGATAGAAGCACTTGCTCAGCACATTTATTTAAGTTCACGCAGGCATGGACATTACTTTTGAGAATTTGATTTTGCAGTCACACACCCTCGCTATTTATATTAAAGTAGGGACGGGTCTCGAGTGATTTGACACCTTTTTGACAAAAGGGAGGGCGCGCATACGAACGCTAAAAATTAAAATCTCCATTTTATTTGCAAAAAGTCTTTGGGAAATCAGATCGAATCTATTTAAAAAATACACCCTAGAGTCCATGCTAAGAAAATGGTGTAGAGTTAATTAATTACGCGACGCTCAAAATGATCAATAACGAGGACCGTTTAAATTCACAATTAAGTTGTGGGTTTGAAATGTCCTCGTTGTAATTACAGATTACATATAATATAATATTATTATTATTGTTCCCATGCAAATAAAATCTTCTCGTTGGCAGTTTGGTGATTTGAATTCGAAATTTCGCATTGGGGTAGTCTTTCGAGCGGAAGAATCAATTAATTTACACAAATCAACAAAGTGATAAACCTAATGAAGTCGCTGCAAATATACTTAAATCCGTCCCCCGTCGGGGAGGAATGTTTGTCGAAAACGCCCGACTGACTAAAAAGCAATACATATTTGAACCACCATGAATTATTGAACAGCGGATAATCAATATTTGAGTCCTTCTTTCCTACCGAAAGATTCACGGTCACATTCAAAAATAGCAGATGCAGCTTTCCGAGAGTCTCTCTTCTCAATACTATGTACACCTTTCGTCATCACATTCTCTGCGCCTCCACGAAGTCGAGTCTCTTCGCCACACAGTTGCCGTTCACTTGTTTTTAATTCAGATGTTGAATTATTTTTTATGATAGTCCTCTATATAATGCTTAGATCAGGAACCATTTCAAATATTTACGAGAGAAACAAATCGCGCCTCTGCTTCATTTCTGTTAATTTTTGCACACTAGACGAGGAAGCCTTCGGAGAGGTTGGCTGAAATTTGCGCTCGCATCGCTTGCACACTGTTCATAATTTTCTTCTGGTGACCCACTAGGGTGATGCCCAACGCGGTCAGTTCTTTCACTGTCAATCGCACCACTGCGTCCATACTGCAAATACCAGCCCTCTGGAAATTGTCCATGTAGCGCGCCATTTTTATCGAGGATAACCACTCTTCCACACTGGTGAACTGGGTCATGTCGGGGGCGTCCGCGGCCAAAGGGTTGGCGGTTCTGCGAAAAATAAATCGCCTACTCAATCGATGGTCTTTGCGAAAGACACTACTTTTTGAGCTTTTTTAGACGGATTATTATTTACAAAAGCAAACAGCGTGCTGTGTTTGTGAGCGAGAAACAAAACACTGAAAAGCAAAATTTTATTGACTCGGCATGCAGGTTTTGTGATTTTAATTTGAGAAGGTATTTTGTTTTATGTTATTTATATGTATAAAAAATTACAGTGCTTTGTGGTATTAACTCAATTAAATCGTTCAATTAATTACTTTGATTAATTTTTTACCAAGAGGCAGTTTGACATTTAATCGAGAAAATTCACTCAAAATCACAACTACTGTTGTCTCAAAAAAGCTTTCGAGTTACATTTGAATATATCACAGATACCCCGTTCAAAAAATATGTAATATTCATGATCTTGAGTGAATGCTCTACTCTTACTTAGTTACAAGGTGGGTGGAACTGAAATACTCTACCTTTGAACTTTATTAAAACCACCACCACCAATCAATTCAACATTTAAGCTCGACAGAGAGGAGATTTATCCAAGCTGGTTAAACGTGACCCACTGTGGTTGCCTTAACATTGCAGGGACGTAATAAGGATTGTGGGGAGGCTGCCTCCTGCGTACACACAACCAACAACAACCCGATAAGGCGATTATCATCAAAATTTGGTCTTAAGATAACCCTTCCAAAATGTTATTTCACTCAATTATATGAAAATTACTTTGATTTTAATTTTTAGAAATGTACAAAATTATGGAAACATGTTGTGATGTTCATTAAATAAGGTAAATAATGCATAATGTAATTTATCCCATGCTTAAGAAGAGCAAGAAGATGTCATCAAAATCTCCGAGCCTTCGTGGAAAGTTCTGTGCAAAAACTGAACAAAAAACTTGCTGCCCTTATAAGCAGAAACTTTTTAAATGAGAAGTAGTGTCTATGCCACGATTTTCAAAGGCTATCTCAAAAACAAATCACAACTAATATAATATATTCCTCTAACTTTACATAGACACAGCAACGAGATGACTTTGAGTAAAAAAATAAAAAGTTTTAAACAAAAGCGAAAGCGTGTGCATACCTATTTTGTGCAATCTTGCGAAGGGTGTCTGGACAGCGGATGAGTTTGTCCAGCGTTTTGACAATGGAGGCAAATGTTGGTCTGTGGGTTCGCTCCTTTTGCCAGCAGTCTAACATAAGCTGATACACAGCCTCAGGACAGTCCATCGGAGCAGGGAGTCTAAAATATAAATCCAAAATAAATTGTTGTCCTTTTTATTGAATAACTACAAATTACCTATAACCCTTCTCAATGGACTTGATGACGTCCTGGTTACTCCAGTTCCAGTATGGCCGCTCTCCATATGACATGACCTCCCAACACACAATGCCGAAGCTCCAAACGTCGGACGCGGAGGTGAATTTCCGGAAGGCGATTGCCTCTGGGGCCGTCCACCGCACAGGAATTTTTCCACCCTGAAATTTTCACTTTAAAATTGTCACCTTTGAATTAATTTTGAACTTACCCTAGTCGTATAAGCTCCTTCAGTGGTGCTCTCGATTTCCCGGCTCAGACCAAAGTCGGCAATTTTGCAAACCAGCTGCGCGTTGACCAAAACGTTGCGGGCAGCTAAGTCTCGGTGAACGTAGTTCATTTCGGACAAGTACTGCATTCCAGCAGCAATCCCACGGAGCATACCTGCCAGTTGCAGGACTTGGAATTGACCGTCGTTTGCCTAAAAATAGATAAAATAAAATTGTACTCTTTAAATTGGGAATCAAGTATGTCTAAAAAACAATCGATTTACCAGGAGGTTTCATAACGAACTCACGCTTACAAATAATAATTTGAACAATTTTACAAAATTCAATAAAATTGACTACTACCGCACATGATGAAAATTATGATTGACTTTAAGAGTCATTTCGTATAATTTATTCATTGGCAATTATTAAAAACAAAATTTGACCCCCGCAATCCATTGATTAATTAATATCTAGATTAAATCATATCATAAATCCTAACATACAGGTACAGTAATATGTAAAAAAATGTTAAAAAATTAATATTTAAAATTTAATTTTATTTAAAAAACTTTTATAAATTATATTTATTAAAAATTAAAATTTATAAAAAATTATTGAGAAAATTCTGCTTATAAAATTATGAATTTTAATATTCTTTATTAATTAAATTTATGTAAAATAAAAAAAAGTTTACTCTTAAAAATGTGTCCAGGGAACCGTTCTCCATGTACTCGGTGATGATCATCACAGGGTTTGATTTGGTGACCACACCCTGCAGGAATATGACGTTCGGGTGCTCAAACTGGCCCATGATGCTTGCTTCTGTCAGGAAGTCCATGCGCGCCTTGTCCGAGCTGCCTGGTTTGAGAGTCTTGATAGCCACGTCCGACTCGGCGCGACCGGCCAGACGCAGTTTCCCTCTGCAGACGTCGCCGAACTCGCCGCCGCCAATGATGGCCTCGATGGTGATGCACGAGGCGTCGATCTCGCGGGCAAACTCGCGGACGGCCTGGTTCGGGTCTTCGTAGGTGTGGGGGTCGATGTAAGTGCGGGAGGCGCCGACTTGGGTGAAAAGTGGAGTTGTCACTGTTAATTCAAGTTGTCTCATGTCAGAAAGCACAAAGCGACCATTGAATGAATTTTTATTCTGATTAGAGAATCACACTAACGGAGGGGTGAATAATTTTGAAGCTTTTAATTAATAATAATAAATAGTAAAATATAAAAATTTCTAGCGTGAATTATATCAAAGTGGTGACCAAAAGCATTAGCCAAAATTGTGGTCTAAAAACTCGAATCTGAGCCAAAATAGTATATTGACATATAAAATGGACGATTCATTCAATTTAAGCCAACTGCGTGAATGAAAAGCGATTTACAAACTACTCACAAATAAGCTCGACTAATGACCATGAAGCAAAAGCAGGGTGAGAATGATTTGTACGGATTGTAATACTAAAAAAAAGAAAGGGGCGCAATACTTACTGCCGTTTGTATGGGTGGTAACAATTGGAGGGCTGTCCAAATTGCAGTGCACTGTAACGGGGTCACAAACAACAAGCAAATAAAAAATCAAGTCAAAATAAAAATTTTGAAAATTTCAAGATTTGAAAATGGAATCTTTCCGAGAGAAATGAAAATTTCTAGAGATGCATTACTTTTTTTTTTCTAAAAATTATTGAAAGGTTCATTTCAGGTATATGCATGCACGTTTGAATTTGCCATACACATTCCAGACTTGCAAAAAACGATTGAATTTGTTTTTAAATTTTTACAGAACCAACTTACTGTAGGTGACAACTAATCCTTTTGAGGGAGCAAATAAGGGGAAACACTCATGGTTAGTTCATACATTTGATTAGGATCAGAGGATTGAAATGCTTTGAGGGTTTTTTGTTTCATTTAGTTGAAATCAGTTTTGAGATAGATAAGCCGAAAATTAATCCTGGGGATTTTATTTTTTCAAAATTATCTGGTTTCAACTTCCGATTGCGTTTTGCGTGGAGAAAAAATCCACTTTAGGTGTTGCATAAAAAAAGAGGTCTAGGCATTATAGCTGGTAGCCCATAAATAGTTTTCTGCCAACCAAAATTGCCGGGTTATTAAAGTACTGCAGGGCTATATCAACAAGAAGTAGCAAAATTACTGAGAGAGAAAAAGTACTGCTGGTTAGTAACGGGTCTTCAAGATGCATTAAATAGCCATTGAGATAAAAAGTCCTTAAGCTCTTGTGTTAAGATGCTTACCTTCGCCGTTTCTGTACTCCAAAGTGTCGCAATCGCTCGGCTGCTTTTTGTTGCAGTCGTCGGAACCTCGGCTAAAATTAGACGCGAATTATTAGCCAACCCTAAAAAAATAGCCCGAATCGGTTATGTACCTCTTGAAGAAGAGAACGACCAGCACTATGACAAGGACGACGACCACGACGGTTCCCACAATTGCGCCGGCAAGAATCCGCATTTGTACGTTATCCTCCTCTCCGACGTAGGCTAATTTTGATTTTATCGTTTTAGTATGAAAACGGGTCAGTCACGTTTGATTAGAAACTTACGGGTGCCCAAAACCTGTCCAGTGGTCTTGAAGACGGGCGGGCTGAACTCTCCCCAACCGTGCGTAGTTTTCGCTCTGACTTGGAAGCCATATTCCGTCCTCTGCCTGAGGTTTGTGAAAGGAATTGCCGTATCCGAAGTGACAACGCTCTGCACCGAAGCGTTGTTGTTGGCCTCTCCCCTAATAAAATAGCGCACCTGAAACGCGACAGAAAAAAAATGAACTTTGTAGAAACGGGCAAGCGAAATAATTTTCACAGAGCGCGATTTGCAAGTCGGACTAATCTAAATGCAAATTGATTGGGCTCACCTCGAACATTTCGATGTCTGCCAGATCATCCTCAGGTGCGTCCCATGCTAATGAGACCTCGGTTGACTTGACACCAGTGGCTCTGACATTAGCGACTGATGACGGCACAGAGGCTTCTGTTGTGACTCTGATGTCTGCGTAATCCTTCTCGCCCGATTGTACGGTGACGCCGTTCTCGGAGAAAATTTGGAAGCGATACGTGGTGACGGGGTTTAATCCAGATATCGTAACGCGCGTCTCGTTGAAAGTTTCCTGCAATGGGAGGGTCACAGCCAATTAGTCTAGCACCTCAATTTGCACTAATGAGATCCAGCTGCCTAAGTGTTTTCCTCAAATGAAAACAATATAAATTTATTATACAAAAAAATATCTCTTATAAAAATCCACTATTTTTGGTAATAAAAAAATTTAAATCAATTTAAATAGATTTAGATTTTCCAACTACTTATAATGTTAGTAATTAGCTTCTAAATTTATCGTTTTAATTCTTTTTATACCTTAAAATTATTTGTTACCTTAACAATTTATATAAATTTTGTGAAACTTTTATAACATTTATATTTAAAATTAGCATTGAATGCTTTGCAATTTTTTTTCTTTAGTGGCAATTATTTTTATTACTCTTTGTCATAGGAAATATTTGAATCAATAAGATATCAATCAAACTGAATAAATAAACAATTTTCAACATTGCTGGCAATTATTGAATTCAATTGAATAACAATTGGACTGCGAGTGCCACTCATGAGAGAGGATCGATTTAACAGTCATGCATAATTCACGGGAGCATAATGGTGGGATTAATTATTGATTTTATGGGGGAACCACAGTTGAGCGGTCCAAGGCAATGAGCGGAAAGCGGACTCACCGAGCTGGGGTTGTATGAGACCCCGAGACCACAGGCGTCGCAGACGACTCGGTACACAGTGTCGCCGCGTCCACCTAGGAAAAACGGCGGCTCCCAGGCCAGGCTGACGGTTGACTGATCCACGAATATTACTGTCAGGTTCTGCGGCGCCGTTGGTGGTTCTGTGAACATACATAGAGAGGGATGAATATTATGTGCCATTTTAATTACCAATCCACAGAGACTAGGAATAGTGGAACACAGAACATAAATCAAGCGCTTTAGCAGCTCCATAACTATAAATTGGCATTTAGAAATATTTCGCAAAGATGAAGAGAACACATAAATTTTTTAATGGTATATATAATATTTATTAATCTCTAAAAGCAAAAATTTGATAAAAAATCATGCAGTACCAATAAATTAAATTTTTAATGGAAAATTAATATAAATATTTTATTTGTTTAGCATAAAAGAACAATTCGAATCCATATTTATTTTAAATTTAATTTACTTAAGACTTGCTTTTTCAAGTGCGCAAGTCGAGCCAGCGATTCTCTCATGCCGTGGATATGTATTTAATTTTATTTATGTGTCGGCCGGGAAGAACATTTATGTGCGGTAGTATTTTAAGATATTCCGTTTTAATTGGCATGTAAAAACTCTCCAACAAAGCGTGCCTTTTGCATCTCGCTCTTTCCGTGTGTGTACGGCTGGATTTTACGATTCAAAATGAAAAATCCAAGCACACATACAATCACAGCCGCACTCGGTTAATAATATTCATACAAGCCTACGAGATCGTCATGCACTTATGTTATATAGCAGACTGCATTAAATTCCCCTGCCTCTGTTCGGCAGCGTCTGCAGACAGTCTGCTCAAATCTAATGTGAGCAGATTGGAAGTCTTGCAAGTGCCTTTTTCTCTTGTATTTCCTTTGTTTGCCACTTCAGACAAAATGGAATAAAGCTCAGAACTCTGGCAATAATGGAATAATTTTTCTTTGCGTTGTTAAATTCCAGCACGTGGCAGTGACCTTATATTTAGTTGGAAAGAAAGGTAAGGTTTCCAGAATAATATTATGTGACATGTTTTGGAATAACAAAAAAAGGTGAAGAAAAACGAGTGTGAGAGGGTACGAAAAATTTCTTGAACAAAAGAAAAACTCCTTGGTGTTATACAAAACATTTTGGCTTCTTCAGATTAAATGGAATGACGTCACAATTACATGGGCACGAAGAAAAGGAGAAGTCGCGCTGCGCATTGTTCTGCACAAAAAAAGAATCATACAAAACCTAGAAGGACCCCTTCCATAATAAGAAACGAAATTATTACACAGGTGTGGGGGCAAGAAGAAGTCGCGAAATGAATTCTCGCGCCCACACCTTACAATGTTGCAGCAAGGGGATGTGTCACAGAGGATCGAAATTATGAAGGCACGAGTAAAATTCTTTAAGGAAGAATTTGAAAAGAATAATAAAAAGTTTAAAATTTACTTTATTTCCATATCTGAGTTGGTTTAGCATTTTTGTTCGCAGCGATATATTATAAACCTCAAGGATTAGTTAAAAAAGAATTAGCATAAAGTGTCTGATGAGATTACATGGATAGCCAAATATAGGATGGGAATCAATGTGGGTAGTCGTTGTGTATTTAAAGGGAGACGAATAAAAACCCAAAGTAATGAAGCGGCTGGGCAAATTTATCCGCGTGCTACATTATACGCGTGTGTATATGTAAAATGTGAAGGGAAAAATTGCAAAGAGAGACGTCGCTCGCATGGGGACTCGATTTGTTCAGCTCCTTCACTATGACAATAAATATATATTTTGGAGACCGCATGGGCGTGTCATATTTGTGTGTAGATGTTTCAAGACCATGTAACATAAAAACTTACAGGATTATAAATTTTTATATGCGCAAAGCGAGTGAGTTGTACTGGTCAGGACACTCTGGCGACGAATTGACACCTCGGCTCAAAAGATGAGAAGCGTGTAATCCGTGCCGTAAATTTCACCGCCCGATATATCGATAACGGAATTCGCATCGCTATGAAAAACGAAATAACAAAAAGTCCTGGTACGTTGCCAAAATGCAAATCGAATTATTTTTAAAAGCAACGGGGATTTATAAGAATTTTCATATGTCAGGCATAAAATTGAAAAAAAAAAAAAAGAAAGAAAACAGAAAACTTTATCTAAATGTTACACCTATATTAAATACTAATTAATGCTATTAAGTAAAATTAATTTTCCACCGATAAAAGATGAAAGCCTTCTTTATATCCAAGTTCTAGAGAATATTTTGCAAGAAGCGGGCAAGTTTGCAAAGTTGAAATCACTTTGCAAAAACTGCTTAGCCGAGGCTTTCGATTTTTTTTCCATCAACAGCCGCGACGGAGAAGTTTGGTGGGCTGAAAAAATGTAGCCATTATAAAAGAGACTGTAGGTCTTGCTGGTAATAGGGTTATTTGCACTGCGAGCACTCGTGTGGAAAATGAATCTTCTGCGAGAGAGTATGCAAGCGAGAGAGGGGCAAGACGTCGGCGGAGGAACAAGAAAACTCTACAATATTATAGAGAGTATATCTCGGAGAGAGAAAAGGAGCAATAGGGCCGGGCAGGCACAAAGTCTTAAACGAATTTTGTCTCCTGCACAAAATTTTGTCGAGGACGTGCTGGCGTTACAGCACTGCTTAATTCTCTTAAAAGACTTTCCGTCTCTCTTTCTCGCGCACGGCTGTGGAAAAACCATCCATCGTTTTCCCCAACGTCATCGCACTCGACGCAAAAGTAAAAAGAGAGGACAGAAAGTCTTTCCCCTCTGAAAATTCGTTTCGCTGCCATTTCGCGAGCTGTAATTAGTATTTCGTCATCATCACATTTCAATTATGAAAATTAAATTATCCCGGCGCCTGACGAGACAAAGGGAGAGAAGGAAATATATATATTATTTTGTTGACTTTGAATTCGAATCTCTGCTGTGGAATGAGAAATCAACTTGGTTGTTTTGTTTTGACGCTGGTGAAAATCGAGTGCAATTAAATAGAAATTCGCAAACGGATTATATAATGAAAGGATATATATGAAAAGAGGGGCTAGGAAAACCAGCCGCTCTCGGTGAAAAGGCGACGAGTGTGTGCACACTCTGGTTCAAACGAACGTACGAACGAACGGGGAGGAAGGGAAAAAAAGAATTGTTTTAGGCAATTTACTTGTTCCCGGGGCCAGAACAATGCTTGACATCTCCATTATGCAGCGAAAAATACAAAGGAGAATAAAGAGAGGAGGAGGAAGTCGGCCGGTCTAATTGGTTTAAGACAAAAAGAGCGCGCCTGATTAGCCTAATGCGCACCAGACGCACAATGGATTATGCGGTGAATAATTAACGCAAACACACGGCTGCTCTTTATGCGATTGTTCGACGACGAGCAGGAAAGTGAAAATTGGACTGTGTTTACATACTTGATTAGCAGATCAGACAAAAAGAACAATTATATTCATGCAAGTCTACATGAGTCACTGTCTAAGAAGACTTCGAGTTGCTAAACTCTGAGTAATATTCCTAACTGAATAACTCGAAAATTACAAAAAAGCGAACGTAATATGAAATTTTTTAATTCTGGAAATAGTTTGATAATTTTCAATGGGACCGATGAGAAACAGTAAACTTTTTTCACCTAAAATTTGGCAATATTTTCAGGAAATATTTTTACTTTGTTTAAATTGGCTTCAAGACACTAATTGTACACATTGTTTGGTTAATTATGTAGTCAGTCAGTAAAGGTTTGTCAACAGAATTGTGAAGTGAAGCAGGAAAAAAAGTAAAGCAAAAGCAGCGTGCAGGATGCAGAAACACTTACGGGTGCATGGCATAGACTTGGGGTCGTTGGGCAATCTGTGATAGCCAGGGTTGCACTTGCACTCCCTCTGTCCCTCCTTGTTGGCCGTGCTGTGTTCCGGACACGGTGAGCAACTCACTTTGTCGGTGTCTGCTTTGTACGTGCCGGGTTGACAAGCTGAAACATCACCCCCAAGCAGGTTGTAATTTTTTTTCTAGTCTCCCAAAAATAATTTGAAAAAAAAAAAGAACGAAAAATTGTTGATTTTTGCAAAATTAATTTTCTTCAAACTCGCTGGAATCTCTTTGACAGGCACCATTATTTGTTTAGCTTTTCTTTGAACCGAGAACTTTGTTCAAAAACTGGCTGTCGGTATTTCTTATCTGCTTAGCAGAGGGCATTGTTATTGTGCGCAGGAATGCACTGACTAATGAGAACAGTTATGCAAATTTTACGAGACCCATTCAGAGATGCCGTGTCTCCGCTGGAAGAAAAAGTTGACTGGAGCGAGCTACTAATTCGGGCGCTCATTCATGCGAGTGCTTTTGTCAAGAACGAGGCAAATAAAATTCCTTCCGAGAAACTCGAAAAACAAAATGTATGAGGCGCTCAGGCAGGGTACTTGACTCCTTTGCTTTGTGAATAGTATTATTTCACGAAAAAACTTTTGCTAGCTGCCGACTTGGAATATAAAAAAAAGGTTTTGTGTAGAGAATAAAAAGTTGGCGGTGGAATTTTTAATATTATGCTCTTTCGCTCCGCTGCTGATGACAGAATGCTACAAAACGGAGAAAAGCGAACAGCATTTTTTCACTGATTAACAAGCTTACTTTACATTGCCTTTATTTCCCCCTGTGCTCGGAAAGTTTGCCGTATGAAAATTAAAAAGGAGCAGGGAAATTTGCATAATACTCTTTTAACGAAGACTTTATACGTGCCCTTCGCTGACGGAGAAGGAAAAACGACAGACTTATATACACGAGTTCAATTTTTAATTAGGCAAGGCTAACCAGAATATTATAATCGTCGAGGTATGCTCGCGGCCCGGTCTCTCTCTCTCATCAGAAAACCACTCCTCAAATGAGAGAAAAAAGCTCCGAGCTGATTTCCATAATAAATTAAAATGTATAAAAAGGCTCGGTTTAAATGATTAGTTTTTTGCCCGAGCATACTGATGAAACTTTGGCATTAATTGAAGCTGCAGAATTACACACTTTTGGACAAAGGATTAATTTTTTTTAGAAATATTTATGGCAAGAAAAAGTATCTTTTCATTAACGCGAGCAGCAGAGCAGATTTAATCTGGGCGGTATTGGAACAAATTGAGATAGAAGCCCGAGGAAATATTGTCATCGTAAATATCATAGAGGGCTGCCATTAATAAAGTTTTCGGGGAACATCTGTTCGGAACAAAGGCATATTTGCCAAAACGAGATTTGGAGGATGCGATAAAAACGGCCGCGGCGCAGCTCGGCTTGTTATTACCGGCAGGTTTGATTTTCGGTATCGTAAATTATTATTGGATCGAATACGAAAGAGGAGAACGCCATTTAGACAACGGGACATGCTCTTTGATTGCCTTTGCGCACACACACGGCCGCGCTCACAATCATCACTTGTTTTGTTTCCAATCTCCCGTCACGATTATGTTCCTTCCCCTTCCCAAAAAAATGAGGAAGCAGATTTTCGTCTCGAATTTTCATCGATTAAACTCGGATGCCGCGCGCGAAAGTTTGCATAAAATAAAATAATGCTCGTCCTAAAAGTGGAATTATTGCATCAGAGGGCCGTTGGGGATTTTTTTCTAAAAGCAGAGCGTCCGAGCTCAACCTTGTGCAAAACGTATTATTGTTCCGGTCACGCCTTGCTTCCTCTTTTTAGAAACTCGTGATGTTTTGTCTTGTAAAAAACGTGTAAACAGTTAGTTGGCTATTTATGACGATTTTGACTGGTTTGCAAAACGAATCGGCATGTAAACAAATACAAACGAAAATTCTGAGTAAATGACTTGGAGAAAAAAGCGAAATCGTTAAAAAACAAGAAGGAGTTTTTATTAATTTAATTAAAAATTTTAACGTAGATATCTAATTTAATGCAAGCCAATTATTGAATTATAATTTTATTGTGAGTGTGTATCTTTTTAGCATTTGATAGAATCTAATATTTTAATGAAAAAAAAATCTTCATAAATATTTAAGGTTGCAAATTAAATTATAATCTCATTTTGTGCAATTCCTGGCATAAAAAGTTAAATTTATATATAATTGGAAGTATTTCGTTTTTTTTTTCATTAATATTTCCATAGGCCTCGTTCGGGCGTCATTGAAGTGTCGATTGATGGACGCGGTGGGTTCCTGCCACGTGCCTGTGAGCGCTTTGGGCGAAACAAGTAAATATTCAGTGTGCAAATAAGCAGCAGCACCACCAAAACCACCCACTGCCACCGAAAATATTTTGATGGTTTGTTAGAGAGCCAGGCAGCTCGAGCGTACACAGGGGAAACCAGTCTGTCTGACAGTCTAAGCGAGAAGCCGCACAAGTACTAGTCAAGCTTAAGAGGGATGAAGTTAATGGCGTTAACCAAACTACAGGGGTATCAAGTGCGGCGTAGTCAAAATCATAATCAGATCACTACTGATTTCCGATTCTTAACGGTCAATTTGAAAGTAAATGAAATTCAGAAAGCCCGAAAGAAGATTTTTTTTTTGTAAATTTTGCATTTTTTTTTTTAGTCAAAAATCTATTTTTCTTTCAAAAAATTTTTTTTTTAAATATTATGTTTTTGTGTGTGAAATCTTATTTGTTTCTAATGGAATAATGTAAGCCCAAGTTATTTAAAATAAAAATAAACTCACCAATGCACTTTTGCTGTTGGAAGTCGGGTTCGAAGCCAGCTTTGCACTTGCAGAATCCGGTGGCCAGGAACCATTTTCCGTCACCTGTGCACAGATAGGTAGGTCCTGTGGCAGCGGCGGTCGTGTTGCTCATTGAATTGCCAGATGCAGCCGAGTTGAGGTCGATGAACTGCGAGTTGGCCACGCACACACCCTTGGCTTGCTCAACCTGCGTGGCCTCGCGACTTGTGGGGGTTGCAGGGAATTTGGCAAAGTTGACGGAAACCTCCGGACAGGTGTGGTAGTAGACCTGAAAATAAAAATTTATAAATACTTTGTAAAATAAATTTTTTGCAACTGAGAAGGTTGTTATAATGCAAACTTATTTTTAAATAATGTTTTAAAAAGTTATTTTTTTGTTAAAAATATTTCGTTTAAAATAGTAACTTGACATTGATTTTTTTTTTCGAAAATTTAAAATTACTTATGCGTGCATATTCTTGTCAAAATAATTTCCCAGCCTGCATGCTTCAGTAAAACATTTGGAGTAGGATATGTTTTTCCTCAGAAAACGAATAAAAAAGCAACAAAATCCACCAGTGCTTATAAAACTTGAAAATCTTAAAAAAATATTTCATTTTGAATAAAAATTCTTATCCATTCAGAAACTTGAAAATTACCTTGAATGCAAGAAGGGAGATGCAGCCACCCTGGTCTCTGAAGGCGAAGTAGACGCCGTTCTTGGAAACAGGGATGGACCTGATTTCAGTGTTGATGATGGCGTCGGTGCCGTGGCTGTTGCCTTCCCTGGCAGCAATTTTGCCGACCATCTTGTAGTCATCTAGGCTTGGCTGAGGCTTGCTAGCGGCCACGTCAAATTCGTAGTACAACAGACTGAAGGTCTCCTTGCACGAACGAGCCCTGTTCGGAAAGCCCTTACAGTCGCGGATGGAAAATTTAATCTCCACATAGAGTCGATTTGCGGTGCCGCGCTGGATGAAGGGCGTCACCAAAAAGTTGTTGACGTTGTCAAAAGCCACGTCACAGACGCTGAACGACTGCCACGTGATATCCCTTTGGAAATTGTTGTAGGTCTCCTGCAACCACTGAAATCAGAAAATAATGCAATCGTTAGTTTATTTCAAATTTTTAAAACCGGTAAATTCAAACGTGTCAAGAAAAATCAACCTTCCAATCTTGAAAATAACAAATTGGTTCTATTCCAGGAAAACGACATATCAAGATAGCGCTAATTGGTTTATACCGCAATGCAATTTTTGTCAATTATTCGCATTCCCTCGCCAAAACAACATCAATCGTGAAATTCCTCATTATATCGCCGAAAAATATTTATCTGCTAAGGATATCAGCGAAAAAGACGGTATAATAGACTGACAGATATAAATCAAATAATTTATACTCTGCCAATAAAACATCCTGGTTTCCGTGCTCTCGGCCTTTTTTTGTGCGCACAATGATTGATTCCTCTTAGAGATCTCCCGACAATTAGCTTAAAGCGCGATGCAATCAACTCCTATAATTTATTTGCGCACAGTCTTGTCTGCAATTTCAAATTCGCAGCCAGTTTGCTGCTTTTGCCGGTACACGAGACGAGATCGGCAGCGTGTTATTAAATCAGCGTGATTGACGCTGGGCCTTACATTTGGGCCACTATTATCATTTCAGTTTTATGGCAAAATCTCATGCAGAGCAAACACAGCGTTTAGCGAGTAAGTACCTTTATTAAATATACACGCCGTTAAGGAAGAAAGAAAAAAACGATCAAATGGAATCTTACAATTTGTTGAGCTAATCATAGACTGCCACACTTGTTAAGACCAATAAACGAAAAAGGGTGAACATGAAATCTTACAATTTGAAATTAAATACAAAATGTTCATATTATATTAGATTTATATAATTATTTGATGTTTAAATAAAAATAACAAAATGATTTTTTTATTTGAATAATATTTTTTCTTAAAAAATTCTAATGATGATTTAATATTAATGATCTTGAATATAAATTAAACTTAAAAGAGTAGCCATCAAAGAATGGGAACAATTTCAATTCGATTAGAAGCCTGTTATATACTTTTTGGTTATTTTTTTATAACATCAGCCTTATTAGAAATCGAGTTCATTTTTTTTTTTAATTTAAATATAATTGATATACTAAAAACTTGCATTATTTTCATCACATATCGCTTATTGCTTGCAACGTTTATAGACTGATCAGAGTTAAAAAGGTAGACGCAGTACGGAGGGGAGGCTGGTTGAGTTGGATTGCTTTGCTTACATTATTATTATTCACTGTGGGTGGCCATCTCTTATACGATTTGGTACACATGGCAACACAAGAGAGCAAATCCGTCTACAAACTCGCAGTGCGCCAGGTGAGATACAAACGCTCAACGGCGGCGATACCGGTGGCCATGGAATTAATCAAATTACTTGCACTCTAATAGTTCAATCAAGGAGCAAGGCCTTCCCGATTTGGACACACGGGTGCCACAGACTGCTCCGTAATATGCAAATCAGGTGGCGAAACTAATTTCCCACTAGAAACTTCCTCGACGGATAGGAATTTAATTAATTAGATTTTGTGGAAAGAAAAAAAAACGTACGTCAACCGCTTGTGCAAATAATATCAAGATAATAAAAAGTGACGACGCAAAAAGTCCATATATTTCTCGGGGGCTGATTGCAATGGCAAGTTATGCCACGACGGCGTCTCATAAAGGATGATTACCTTCAGTTGAACTCTAGCTTTCCCCTCGTTCTCTCATCCGTCCGCCGTTTGTATTTGATCTGACGACTGTGCCCGGCGTCTATTATCTGTGTGAGAACCGGGCTCATTGTTAGTGCGCTACCGCCGCGCTGCAAAATCACTACGGCAAATATAATGGCGCTCGCAGAATTTCCCTTAATGAATCTGCTGCTTCATCATTATGTCATATTTGTTCTTCCTAATGGTATTTGTTTTTATTACAACTCGCTGTGTATGTCATCATTAATTACGGACTCGTCTCGGAAAATAAAAGAAAATACTGGTGCGGGAGTTTTTGCTCCCGTTCAAGCAAATTATAATCGCATCAAGCTCTTCGCTACTCTGGCAAATAAATAAATAACGTTCTGCTTGCACAACTCATTCAACTGCAGTTAGTTCAAATGTTTATATTTATATTCACGTGATTTTCTCAAAGTTGGCCAACCAGAAGTTCACCGGCAGCTGGTACCGCAAACGAGGCACTGAGAACTACTGTCAGAGCATATATATCAATTTAGCCGCAGCCGCTCCTGGATTTATTCAACTGATTGTGTGTATATCGGGTGCAGTGCAAATGAAGTGCTACTCCATCTAAATACACCGCACAAACCAGGGATATTTATGCGGGCGGCTTCTGTTTGCAGTTTGCAGTCTAATCGGGGAGGTTTGCGATTTGGCATGAAACGTGCTGAGGGTTTCATCAAGTCTATCTTTGAAGCATACACATGGCATTTGAAATGGAATAAAATAAATTGAAAAAATGAGGCAGCTGACGGCAAAAAAGTATCGATGTTAAGTGCTTCTTAAAAATGCACAGCCGCCTCTGCTGTTATCTTGAATTAATCATTCTTTCAACTTTTAAGCAACGCATTAGACCGTTAAAGGATTAATTCACGTTGAGAAATTTCCGAACTCTTTGCTTTTGACAGAGCAATAATAATGGATTATCGGTGCGTGAGTGCTGCTGCCACACGGTGGATTAAATTCTCGCAACCTCCATCTGGACCGAAAGTTCGTGTATAAGAGAGAATTTATATCTTTGACTTTGATCTGGAAGACGAGGGTGCAGCAGAACGAGATTTTCATACAAAAAGAGAATTGCTGCCGCGGCTGGTTGCCTGCTGGCTGGATTATTATGATGATTCTTGGTATCTAACAAGCGAGCAGAGAGAGACAGGCCGGAACTCAAATTATAAATCGTTTATGGAAATGTGTGTGGTGTGTACCAAGAGACAGATAGCAGCAGTCAGTGGGCACATATAAGGGAGGCAGACGTGAATGCGCTTTTGGCTACCTTGGACCAAAACGCCGCTTTTTGTCTGTGCGTCTTTGATCGATAAAATTCAAGCACGTAACATTTGGTCTGTTTGCCTAGCTGACGGGAACGGAGGAAATGGAGGAATGCAGCATTTGAGATTAAATTTCCAGCGTCACAGCTTGAGGAAAGGTAGACTGAGGGAAAATGAAACTTCTTTTAAGAAAGCTCCAAGTTAAATTTAGCAAAAGAGAGAGAAAATAATCTAAAATCGGCTAGAATTTATTTTGAATTAAAAATATGAGATAGGTTGTAAATTATTATTTTTTATTATTATTTTAATTAAGTAATGTGCTACTTATATATAATTTATTTCTTCTCCTGTTTAGCTGTGCAAATGATATGTTTAAAAAATTTCTCATAATCTATTTTTAATTCACAGTGATTTAAATTTAAAGTCGGCTTTGCCTCGTTTTATTATTTATTGGAATAGAAAAAAAAAATAATAATACTGACACATTTTGAATTTATGAAAAAAGTCGGAACCACCATCTGGAGAAAAATACTCCTGCTTAAGCCAATTCAAGAATCAATTCCGGAGGACGGATCTGAGCAGTCGGGTGGCTTTGGCCCAAGATAAATTTCAATAAGCGCGCGTTGAAGGAGCCATTCCGGGCTGCGTCCCTGGTGCCCAGAGAGGCTGCTGGCCCTTATCGCGAGTTATAAGACCGGTGCATTCGAGCAGTTTTCTAACAAGGTGGATGTCACGTAAAGGACCTAAATGGAAAGTAAAAAAGGAAGTAACAGCAGTCGTAGTGGTTTTTTCCCAGGTCCCCGGAGATATAAAAAGGGAGGGCCGGCGTTATTTTACAAAGAGAGGAAGTCGGTCGGTCGGGGGCGAGAAAGAGAGACCAAGTGCAAGCATGCATCCCGCACGGCACGTCTCTAGGGAAAGCTGTGCCGCCGGACCATCATCGCATCAGCAGCTGCCGAGAGATGAAGTCCCAGCCCAAGATGACGCATTTTCCGGGAGAAATTCACATATAAAGACCAACCTTTTTTGACCGTGTGGCCCGCGGCAAAATATTTACTCAAAGTAAAGGGCGAGCATGAATTTATATTCATCGCCGTCTCAAATGTACTACCGGATAATAACCGGCTCGCGATGATGAGTTTTAATCTATTATTACGCTCGTTCGCCCGTAGTAATTTACTTTTATAGACCCCGAATGCAAATCAAAGACAAGGAGAAAAAATTTAGAAAAATATTCCTCCTTTTTGATACATTGTATGATAATCCGTTCAGGCTGCAGAGAGACTTACACGTCTGTAATTTCATACTCGACTACTCACATTGTGAGAGAAAAAAACTCAAACTGTGATTTAATACCGTGTAATTTATCTGAATCACTGCTGCAGTGCCTCTGGATTATTAATCGAAGCGACCCGGTTGGTTCACATACATTCAACTTGGGCTGCTTTTTAGGTGCAGATTTCTGCGAGCGGTGCGTGTAATTTGTCTAATTTATAGGCGCTGCGGAAACTCGAGTCGTGCACCGGGAATTAAAAAGTTTCTCCCGCTGAACAGAAGGGTTGCATAAATTACGGGCAGACGCCGAGGGAGCGCGCGCGCGAGGGAGGAAACTACGTACGCGGCGCCGGACTGCTGCGACGATGCATGTACGGGGACGAACGAAATGAAGGCGAAAAGGAATTGAAAGTGAAAAAAACATTGACTCAAGCTGAATTCAGTATTAAGCCCTTGACAGCTCCTCTCTCTCTCTCTCTCCTCTCCACCGGCGCTCTCCTATAATCTTTGATTCCTTTTGTGTGCCGCGCCCCGGCAAAAACTCTTTCCAAAGAACCGTTTTGCAAAGTCAGAGAAAGGAGTTGATTCAAGTTGAAACATGTTATTATTTCCGAGGAAAGTTCGCCCCTGAGTCGGTGAATTTTTACCTTCAAAAGAAAATTCAGTCCTTTGGCAAACATAAGCTTTGGAAATTACCAAGTTTTGGTTCTGAAAATTTCTATTTGCTTATAAAAATTTGAGATATTATTAAATTTAAAAATTTCCAATTGTA